TTACTTGTCCTTTCCTCATTATAAGAGCATAATTGAAGGCGTAGCTCAATGAACTAAAAAGCTAAAATGAGTTAACTTCTTTAAATCTGATTAAAACTCATAGACACAGTTTTGAAAGAATCATGTACTGGACTACCCCATACTCTAAGCTTATCACTGACTAATATTCCCACTGTCTTCTTAACATTGCATATATATACATATATATATATATAAATACTCTCATAGGTACTCATAGGTACTTACAACAATAGACTTTGTGTTTATTTACATTTTTTTTACATATATCCCTAGCTTGACTCGACTTCATATTTCAGCTAATTAGTATCACTTATCAGTTAAGCAGTTAACTCATATAAACTAAGATCTTTTATTTACTGCCTATTGAGTGAAAAAAGAACAGACACTATTTTTTTATAGCTTTCACTTAGCCATCAAAGAAAAGTAGCTGTGAAACGTTCGACAAATTGAAAACTAATTTACTTGCGTGAGATTGTAACGTGAATTACATATAAGGAATGGCCACAATATTGGCCATAAAACATTGAAATCAGTTTATTTGGACTCCGGCATCAAGAGCAACCACATCATTGCTCATAAAAATTTATTGACGCCAGGACAGGCCCAGTCACAGGCACTGTGCTAAGATATAAATAAAAGAAGTCGTAAAAGGAACTTTAAGCTGCAGTAAACACATCATCAACATATCAGCTGTGCACAGATAAGCAGTTAGCAGCATCACAAGTGGCCAAGATGGGGGCAATTAGGGCAATAAACAGCGATTTCGAACGCGAAAGAGGCGTCAAGAGCCGACTCAGCATGAAGGCAGTACCAGTTCAGTCGGCGATAATGTTACCGTTAAGAGTTACGTTAATATTGACCTCATTGACTAGGTTCGCTTCAATGTAAGCGGAGAGAAAATATAAATTTTATCAAACATTGGGTTGGAATCGCTGATGTCTTCTTCTATGTATTTTTATACAATTGCCCCAAGCTATTATTCAAAATGTTAATAAACAATCAATCGGCATAAATTACAATTTTAGATATATATTGCAATACTTATGCAATATTTATGCAATAATTATTAATAATAGCCATTTACTTAATAAAATACATTTTTGAAGTTTTTGCAGTCAACTTTAATTCAAAAATTGTTAAAGAATAGAAAAACTTGCTCCACAGTTCTGTAATAATTATTGCAGTCTAGCTCAACTTCACGTTTCAGAACAGCTACATTTATTACAAAATTAATATATTTACTGAATATATTTTATACGTATGTCTGCACAGGAACTCAACTTTGATCAGCCGGCCAACAGTCACCTGTGGCCTTCAGCCGCTAACTCGAAATCTGTGGAATATTTAGTTTTTCCCAATTTACCACGCCCCTAGTAGTCGTAGTATAGTGTATCTATTGGTCGGTTTCCGATCTTGTCTTGCTCTAATGGCGCTAAAAATATGCGACAATTGGTACAACATGCTTTATAATTAGTCCCGATTTTAGTTATGATAATTTTGATAAAAGCATATAATTTAATTTGAGCTACCTACAATAATCAATTAGACGTATCAGAAAGACTCGTCAGTCACTACTTTAATTTTAATTTATATAAAAATAGTATAGACTACTTATCTGAGAACTGCCTGGAGTAAGGTGTTTTAATATATGTTGCTGTACGTTACCTTTAAGAAATTAATACATTTTTAAAGACTTTTGTAACGATTTGTCTTAGAAATAAGTATAATACCTGTATCGTATGCACGTGTATATATGGGCTAAAAGCCAAACGAAAAGTTAAAGGAAAATGAGCCAAGTTTTTATCAGCACACTATATACCAGATGTACATAAGTTTGGGTCCAAGTATGATTATGTGTGTATGTATGTCTACATCGCGCAAATCACCCAAGCGAATTCTCGCCATTTTTCAGTGTCCGTCCGTTTGCCCAAACGAAGTGAGACCCCAACTTACAAAAAACACACACACAAGTACACAAACACATGAAAATGTACACCCTGGATAACCCTCAACTAACACCGTCCAGCGGCTCAGCTACCAAACAACACCGCCACGTTCGGTGCTCGATGCCGCGCATTCGAATACAAAATAAATATCCAATATATGCCCATGTGGGTGTGTATCCTGTTTCTGGCATATATTATAAGTGGAATAGAAAAATAAATGCGCCGTGATAAAAGCTGTCCCCAGTTTCAGCCCCGCATGCCCACACCAGGGCACAGCGCCCATAAGCCCTCGTGAGCTGTCGCCTGTCCACCGCTAAACTGCGCGTCGTGACGCGAGGACAACACGTCAGCTGCGACAGCAGCAGCAAACAATAACAAGAACAGAAACGGCAGCAGCAGCAGCGCGGACAACGACGACGGTGGCCACGACGACGGCGACGACGACGGCGACGACGACGACGACGACGATGGCGGCGGCAGCAGCGGCAACGTTGGTGACAAAGTCCGTGTCCACAAAGGGCCGACTTCGAGCCGCTCATCCTACAAAACGGACGCGTCACGGAGCACGTTTGAAATATTGGAAGAAGGACATTTAGGACTAAAATGAAAGGATCGTACAATAACCCTCAGCCTTGCCGTCCACCCCACTCTCACTCCCACACCCCATACAGAAAAACACGCACACATGCACATCATACCCAAAGAGGCCGGCGAAACCCTCCCCTCCCTCAACGTCACATATCCCATTTGCTTCAACAAACACATGCACAGCCACACATCGTACACACGTCCATACATGCATACATATGTACACTCTTATATATATACATACATATATATATATATATATATATATATATATAGATGTGTGTGTGTATTTCGCGTAAATATTGGGAGTCCTTGACTACGCGACGCGCACGATGCTGATAAAATACAAATTCTTGGGCCGCGATGCTGTCCGCTAGAAGTGTATTTGCACAACTGTACTTACGGCAAGCTGGACACTACCCGGACCGTGGTAGCAAAAACGACAAAGGCCTCACCGTGGCCCACGGCTCGCCAAAGGAAGCACAAATATCTGCCGCTCTGGGAGACGTGTGGAGTGAGTGATTCCGAATTGCACTGAAAGAAACTAGAACATTTGGCTTCAAATTTAAACTTTTTAAAAAATTCATATTCATATTCGTATTGGGATTTCATTAATTTTTTATTATTTTACAGTGATAAATTTTTTACTACAGTGATTCATTCTATGATTCATTATTTAAAACAAACTTTTATTTTGCTAAATAAAATCTATAAAATTCTCAGTTCTTAAATGATTTAAATGATTTGTTGATTTAAAATTGAATCTAACTAAAATAAACTCTGATCAAAATATTATGAGCCCATTATAAACAAAAACTGTATATTTACGATAATATAACGAAGATCTTCCCATATAATGCTGATAAGCTTTTAGTATCTAGAAAAAAGATGTTTTATGTTGGATACTCGTAAGAGGACTCATCAATCCTTTGCAGTGTACGAATATCCTTGTCCAGTTAGCGAACAAAAATCTGCGACGAAATTACGCCACATGTGTTCATGCCACGAGCAAATTTTCAGCGATGCTAACGGACGGTTGGCGGACAAGGGACAGCATTTTCATCTTAGGACGATTCTTTCAAGGGACAAACGCAATTTAGAGGACGGCGATGGGGGATGGACGGACACTGGCATCATATATGTAAGTAAGTTGGCTTGAAAGTGTGCGTAGGACGTAGATGACTGTGTGTGTTTGTGTGTGTGCCTGTGTGAGGGCGGCAGACGGTGGGTGGTTTGGGTATAGCGCCAAAACGGACAGGAGTCCGGCTCGGGTGGTCGCTCACACATGTGCTTATGTGACGTGCTTGAGTGTGTGTGTATGTGTGTGTGAGTGTGGATGTATATGATGTTGTTGTTACTGCCTCCGGCTATGTTTGTATGCCTTATTGTATGCCTTGAACCCACACACGGCCGCGGCATCCACTTTGTCCAATTTTCAGACGGTCACTTTTGAAACGAATTTTGCCCACTCTCAGATATGCCTTGACGTTACCCGCGTTGCTGTTGTGATGCAAGACCATGAAATTGGCATTCGCATTTTAGAATCCACTTAAACATACTTTCTTCAACCCCCACTAACGGAATGCTTAAGTAATCGCAACCGTGCACCATTCGGCGTCCGTTCGCGTATATATATGTTAAATGACCTTCTCTCGCGGCGTTAGCTTGCTGCCCATGTAAAGCTTGCGTATCATTTTTTTCAGCTCCGTTTTCCTTTTCTATCAATAGCTTCATTGTTATTATTAATTTTAAAGTGAACAAGATGGGTTGAATTTATTGGAACTTTTATAACCAATATTTATAGGCGACCACTACCACTAAAGCAATAAGGTTTTAAAATAGATTTCCACACTTATCAAATATAATTGTAAGCTTTATTTGTGTAGCTTAACTCTAGCTTAAACTTTACAAACATCTGAAAAACAAATCTAATCTGAAAAACAAATCATTTTTGGAAATAATTTTATATTGTATTTCGACAAGCAGTTGCGAAAGCATAATGACATCACTCTCGTATTAATTATCAATGAGTGGATTGTCATAAATTTATATGGTTTAGTATTATTTCTACAAGTGAAAGTCTTTGGCATACTTACCAATATTTGTATCTCCTGAACTTATTGACAATCGGCGGAAGGAAGAATCACTTTCTGTAGTTAAAATTTTTAAAAGTAAACAATTATTTACCATACTCCCCATTCTTAATTTTCCCACGCACTTGGTGTTATATTTATGCCCCGAATCTCGGCATATTTGCCTGGATATTACAAACTTCATACGAACATTGCAATGGAGTTTAACAGGTTTCGTTTTATATGTTTTAGTTTCAGGTTCGGAATCTATAGCTCTTTATAATGTACAATATGATTATTCCTTACTCTTGCAAATTAAATTTTAATCAATGTAATTATATTTTCGAAATACATTTACAATTATCTATTCGGGTTTTAATTCAATTTTATCATCGTAATTTTTAGTCGTCAGAATTTTTTTCTTCTTCCATTTTCAAATTCAATCGATGATCTTTTTGCAATGAAGCCTTAACCCATTCATACTTCTTCTGGGATTCTTGATGGGTTAGGGTTAGGCGCTGTTGCACCATTCTCTTTCTAAGCTCCAAGTCTTTAGCCTGCTGTACTAGACGGTTATAGTCGAAATTGTCAAATTGATTCTCGAACTTGTTTAAGAATCGATTTAGCGATTTTGCCTCACTTGTTAGCTGTTGATATAAAAAAAATGATATGAGCTATAATCAAAAGTAAGCTTAGTTATTCTTACGTCTTCGTATTGCCTTTGTAAATTGTTAAGTAGAGTGACAAATCGAGATTTGAGATCATTAAGGCAGGCATGGTACGCAGCCACAGATTGCTCTTGAGTCAGTTCATCCTGATCTTTAAATGGCACCAAATAGGGTGCCAAAAAGTCCGCTGGCTTACTGGCTAATTCACGCTTAGCCTCCTGTTCCTCTTTGAACTGCAAGAAAAACGTAATTACTCAAGTAAATCCTTAAGGTGTGCAAGGTAGAACAAACCTGTTGCATTCGGAGAGCGCGGGCAGCTCCATTACGTAACGGATCAAATAAACTGAACTTAAGTTTAGGCTCCGACTTTTCCGATTTTCGCAGGTCGAAAATGTTGCTGATATCTTCCTGAACTTTCTCAAACTGTTTCTTTATACGATCCTCTGATTGAAGTTGGTCCAGTAATAATTTATATAGCTCCAGATTAGTCCGTATCGGATCTAATGGGTTCGCCTGTGTAAGTGTATTAGTATTATTAGTGTATTTAGAGCATTTCGGCAATCAATACCCTGTATATTTTGGTTAGTTTCTCATCGTAAACTAATTCCATTCCATAATCTGGTTTCGGTGGTTTCGTGAACTCCACTGTAGTAGCAGTAAGGGCTCCAAATGTGTAGTGGAATTTGATTATTATTTTGTTTTGCATAAACAAAAAGGTTCGGCTTGCAATGTCATTTTTTACTAAGTCATCTTCTTCAGCACGATGAAATTTTTCAACGACTTTCTAAGGAGTAGTAAAATGGAAGTTACATACTCAAATTAAATGAGAAGTTTACTCACTTTAAGCACTCCGCCCTTTGCCTTAAACTCAAACTGTCTGTAGCAGCACCTGTCACTTTGGCCAGTATAATTTAGTTCTATCATTCCAGGAACTAAGTCTATTGTTTCCAATGTATCTAGTCTAGAGGTGGAAGTAAAGTTCAATCTTCGGGGTAATGATGAGTCCGAGAAATACTCTATAGCTATACAAGAAAGCATAACAAATTGGGGCATACACCTTGAATTGTATTTAAGATAGTTTGAAAACTGTACTCACATTTCAAGCTATCATTACGGCCTTTAGCAAACCGCTCCTCGAAATGATCGTTCTCATACGTATATATCAACTGCTCCATTAGGTCAAATCGGTTCTTATAATGCTCGTAACGGACTTTGGGACTGGTGCACATCTTATCATTAAAGAGCGTCAATTGCATTACCTTGCCATCGCGTTGGGAGTATGGTGAGAAGCGTTCGTGTATGGCTCCATTATATTGCACCTTTTTTTCAGAGTGCGGAAATCGATGTTCAAAGTCCGCGAAGCCGATGTGAAGCCTGTTTACCCAGTTGCAAATAGCATCTAAGTGCTTCTCCTCATTTATATCAGTATCACCATCTGTTATGTTTTCATCTGATGACATTTTGTAAATACGCATTTCTGGTGGCTCGCCTGGCAGCATGTGCCCCCAATCATTAATGTCCCGTAAATCCCAGCGCAAATCACCGACTCGCTGATAAGACTGCTTGTTTACATAGTAATTGTACTGATTCCAGGCGGAGTCAACCAAAATGTATTGCTTGCAGCTTGACTCGCATATGAATCCCGTCGAGGGCTCTATAAATATTGCAGTTGGTGGGGCTTCTACCACATCGCCATTCACGTCAGTATAAGTGATTTTGGGCTTTATGCTCCAGGGTGCGTTATTAATAATCACTACCCACGCGTGAGCACGACGGTAGTGATAGCGATCGACTGCCACAAGCTCTTGATCCTAATAAGAATTACAAAATATTAAATGTAAATAACAAATTTACAACAAATTGTACCGCCATTTGCTTTCGCAGAAGCTCGTTTTCTATTCGACTCTGCTCTTCGGCTCTTCGTCTGTGGATCTCGGCCATTTCTTCCTCCAGGTGACTTTCCAAGTCCGGCAAAGCGCGCAATTTGTACTTGGCGGGCTGTTCTTCCTTAACCTCCTCCTTTTCAACATTCTCTTCAGCTGTGATTGGATATGGATACGGCAGGTTACGCTGATCGTTATGAACAGTTTCTTGTCGTGCAACACCTGACACAACCATAGCTGGATGCCCAGCGCCAATAAGCATGCTTGCCAGCAGTGTTGCCATTTCGTACGAATTCCCACGTCGTTTTCGAAGCAAGGTATCGGGTGATATGAGGCGAGTTGGCTAAAGTGCAGCATCGATGCAATTCAATATAATTACTCAGCTTGACTTAAATTTTCAATATGAACAGAACTGATTAACTAAATACAAATTTGCTACATTGTATGAATGTTTTACTGTATTGTATGTTTCGTTTAATTATTACAGTTTTAAATTAATAAATATCTGTTCGTACACAAACAGCCAAAGGCCACCCTTAAGATATAAATACTATCCATTCACCATACACAGATCAAGTTTATATTTATGTACTGTCTCTCGTCCAAATTTATGGTTTTGTGAAATTTATATAACAGGCTTAAGACCCCATATATATATTTACATATATATATTCTTGGTCAGGACGTTGAGCTAAGTGGATCTAGCCATGTCCCTTCACCCGCCCATTCGTCTATCCGTTCATATGAGCCCACAACAGCTAGCGACTTGAAAAACTAAATGTTGACGCGTCTATACCATACGCTTATTATTTTTTCGACCTCTCATACTATTTCCTACTAGAGACAAAAATTTATAATTTTACTTAATTTGTAAAGCTTATCTTGAACACCGGAAAGTTAGAAAAATATATTTTACTGTGAACATTTCTGGAATAAATTCCCCAAAAGTCGCTAGAATCGTTGCTCGAGAGCGTGGGCGTATTAGTGATTGGAGTATTAGCTCTTCGCTGGGCTCAGAATATCTACTACTCGAGCAGTCTCGACAATAGTTTATATTCAGAGGAAAAGCATCGCAGCATCCTTTGTGGTATATGGGTATATATGTTAATTTCGAATCATATCAGCAGCATGTGAGATTGCAAAAGTACATCTTAAATAAGTTTTTCAGGTGCTCTATATAAAAACAGAAAATTTTTCAAATAAGAATTAAAAAACAGTCGCATACAACATTTGTTTTATATTTAGCATAAACAAAAAAATCACGGGCATTAGGACTCAACGTTACGTAACGCGCAACACCGCCTTCATATTTTATACTTCATATTTAAATAAGTCGGGGTGCCCAACTAGGAGTTGCTCTGATCCCAGTCGAATCTGCGCTTTTTATATTTTCAATAATTTGTATCGAGTATTAAAAAAAACAAATAAAAATCAACATTATGACAAGATGCGAACCAAGATTGCCTACCCGATGAGCATCAACTCTACCTTGATCGCCAATTTATAATTAAAAAAAAAAACATCCCTTTGCCACCAGGTACTGAACCCTGAACTTCTTGTCAACGATCGATTGCGCAAGAAGTTTCAAATCGAAATTAAAGTAGCAGCTGACAATTGAAACAATTCAATCGCAATCGCAATTTCGATTGATATTTCGAAATGAAACGAATGCCCACATTTGAATGTGTATTCACGTCTATAGGATGAATGAAAATGCTTGGCACGGTTTGCCACGTGCTTGTGCTAATTAGTCAAAGTTTTGGTTTTATAAATTTCGTATTACTTATCGGATTTCACTGAAATTTGCAGCACATGATCTACATATTGGAATATTTGTCAGCTCAGTAAAAATATTAACTTTTTGATATGTTAGCCATAAATCCAACTGAACTTAAATTTAAAGAAATAATTTAAGGAAATTTGGAGCTGGTATCCAAAATATAACAAAAATCAAAATTGTATATGATATACATAAAAATAAATACAACATTTCGAGGCTCTATCGGTTAAGCTGTACAAGATATAATTTCATAACTGAATTTTGATCATGTTTTTAGTCGATAACAATAATACGGGAACAGTAATACGGGAACAGAAAAAGTTCAAGTCAAAAGCTTTTATAATTTTTGGTACGGACAGACGGATAAGGCTAAAAAGATGAGTTACAAAATGATGGTAATGGTTCCTCCAAGAATTTTGTTGTTATATGTAATTCTTATAGTGTCACAATTATGAGGGCTACCGATATTAGACTATTTTACCATATGAATCCAGCTAGTGAAATATTGTTGTTTATCTTAGATATCTAAAATAAGTTTCAAAGTAAATGTCGCGATTCCTTAAACTAATACCTTGTTGAACTGGACACAACTTCCACGAATTTTCATCAACACATTTCCTCAGCATGAGGCAAGGGTGTACCTTTTTACTACTATTGTACAAAAATGAGCCTTTGTTCAGATTAGTTGAAAACTGCTGACGCAGCAGGAAGTGAGGAAAACAACTTGTTAAATTTCCTACTGGGTGTATAAAATGGCAAAGGATACGCCTTTTGATTTTCCCTCGCTATATTAACCTATTTTTTTTTGTTTATATATATATAATTTAATTGAATGTTATTTCAAATCTATAATACACTTGACATTTGATTTTAGAAAAAAAACCCCAAGTCCTATAATTTAATTATTTTTATTTCATTATATATTTATTTATATATTTAATTTTTAGCATATCATTAATCCGAATCTGAATTCCATATTTCAAGTCTGTATCGTTATACACATAAAGCGCAATATTGAACATAGCAGAGCTTAAAGTAAGAAATAGTAATAAGGTATATATGTAAATATATATATATCTATATATACATATTCGTTTTACAAATAACCAAGTGCAAACTCATATATATATATATACATACTTGCGGATGTCCTGCGGCGCGAGTTTTATTGGAATCGGAACAGTCGTCAGTCAGTTCGTTGCTGTCTCAAGCTGCGACAAAGACGAAAATCGCACCCCTACATAATCCGCCCAATGTTTTCTTATCTTTAAGCTGGCTGTTTACCTGCGCAGCTGCAATTATCCTATAGGTGTATGCGCATGTGGCACAAACCGTGTCCTGTACATCACGTTTTTCTTGAGACAATGACTACGGGGACTATTCTGTAATTTGCGAGAAAAATAGGTATATATACATACATATATACATACATATATACACATACTATACATGTAGAACTCAAGAATGACCGAAACTGTGGAGCGTAGATAAATATCGAGCAAGACTTAGTTTGCCATCATTGTCAGGTTTCGCTTACATAGTTCTAACCATTCACGTATATTTGTTGCTTTGCCTGTCCTCAAGTATTTTGCGTGTTTTTCATATACGAGTACTAATACGCAGCAGGCAGTTTCAATTTCAACTTATTTTAGTAATAGTTTTATTTTCCATATATAAAATGGGATCTTACCGCGCGGTTAGACCCGCCCTCATGTTGCATAATATTCGGAATGATCTCAGCATACAACTTACAACAAAGGCAACTAATATATATTTATCAACCAGATTGCTTAGAACGTTCGTGGTTAAAAATATTTATAATATAAATTTTACTTTATTATATTAAAAAAAAAAACAAATATAAAATAAGCGAATTCTGATGCAACCAGCTGCATAATACTCGTTCATGGTCCAAAAATAGTTAAATACATAACAAAATGTATATTTCTCTTCCCAGTCGGCGTCGTTATATGATATTTGATAAATTTTAGACTACATCTGCAGTAATTTCTGAGTTCTAACTAATAATATATAGACAATTTGAAAAGTAACATTATACATCCAACAACGGATGTAGATATAGTTTCCATATATTCCATATATTTAACAGGAGTATATATATTTCCAGTCATATACGTTATAGTATAGTATTCCCCGATTTCCTACGTCGTCAGGGGGCTGATACTTTATAAGATGGGGCAACACATGAATATATATTCCAAATACAAACAGATGGACGGTAACTAAGATACCGCTCCACTTCGTGATAACGAGTAAACTGTATATAGTTATTTTTGGTTCGAACAACACGTTCTTCACTATTCTCATTTAATAGCTTTTTAGAAGACCTTGTGAACGCGTCCCGCCGTTTCGAAAAGATTAGTGAAATGCAAAATCCCCGTGAAGCCATAAGAATCACAATGAAGCGCTCCGTGGCAACACAAAGACATCACCGAGCAGCGGGAAGAGCGACAGCGCGGCATTCGAGGTCAAAACCATTCTCTGCCAGCCAGGCAGTTAGTCGACAGCGTCTAATTGAATCCGCAACAGCAAAGTTGGCTCAGTTCACGGGGCGAGCTCCCCCTTCTACTTGTGGCAGGCTGGCTTGTTGTTTCTGTTTACCCGCTGACATCAGGCGCTCTTTGCGTGGCGCGAAATAAGAAACGCTTCAAAGTTATTCGAACGTGTTAAATTAGGATCAGCCTTCAATGCGCAAACGAAACAATCGTGGAAAAAACATGACAAAAACAAAGGAGCGCAGGCACGCTAACATATAGCTTTGAGAAACAGGCGCCCTGTTACTTAACCAGGAGGTATAGCTCGAATTACAGCAATGCCAACGTCCATCTGAGTTTCGGGGAAAAAAATTTAACCAAATGCAAAATTTTTGCAAATATAAAAAAGGGTGGCAAACGAAAGACTGACAAGAACACTTTACCCTGCGAAACCGTAGACTCGCTTGGCTGTGCTGAAGTTGAAGATAACACAAGCAGGCAACGGACCGCCATCAAATGGTGTTGCAGCGCTACTTAAGACATCCACCCACATAATCCTGTACATGCCTTCTAGTAACCCGAGGCGAAAAACGCACGTGGGAGGCACATCGCTTATCGGGGCGCATAATGAGCCGCTGCCATCTTTGTCATAAGAGCGTAGAAACAAAGCGGTGAAATTCAGCGCGATTCCTTAAGCACTTGCGGGAGTGTTGCGCGTCCCAAGTCAATGTGGGCAATATGACAGGGCCGTATGTAAGTTCTTAAATGAGCACACACGATGAAAATCAGCGGCTTAACCCCTTTATGATAATGTTCCGCACGGAAGTGTTATTGTCCTCGGGACAAAGGGACGCACACCATAAACAGTAGCCAGCCGGCATCATTGGCGCAGAACCGCCGTAGTCGCAGTCAATGATGATACATAGTTATCAACGACCACGGACGTAAACCCCAAGCCTTTGTTCGCCGGTTGTGTGCTTTCTTAATAATGTCATAAGGCTAGAAGGTATATGCTTAATGCCACAAAAAATGCCTCTCCCATGGCTACCTCTTCCAAGCAGTCCACGT